TCAGTCAGAGAAATGCCCACAAAACTTGTGCATTACTGATCATGTGTGATGTTCATGCCTAGTTTGAAAGAAAATGGTTCAGGCATGATTGAAAAATTGGGGGGGGGGGGGGGGGTTATGAAGAAAAAAAATAGCCACCAGTCTGTCAAAGGTCATTGAAACAAAATAATTATCATGCAAATGTACAGTATTATAATGTCTTTGTACCAACTTTCACCAAAATGTCTGACAAGTTTTGAAAATAACACAAACATGGCCAAAAGCCATACATCAACTCAATTTCATCTTATTCTAAAAATATCTAAAGACAACATTCAACCTATAATCTACCAAATTTAAGTGAACTCTGTAAAAAACAAGCAGCCTCTCGGCTGAGATAGCTCCGCTGTTAGCAATGCACATTTCAATTAAAGAACTGAAGACATCATTAGAAAATGAACAATATGCATAGTATCAATGCAATGGGACTTGCTGTTTTCAACAAGAATTCAAAAATATCATTTTTCACCATAAATGATTGTGGTTTTTAACAAGAAGTCGAAAATATCACTTTTTACCAAAAATGACAAAAATATTCACCAAAATTAGAGAATTGAAGATATCATCATGAAATGAACAAATCTGAGAGAGGTCTACCCAAGGTACATCATATACACAAAGTATCAAAGCATTCAGGCTTGTAGTTTTCAAGAAGAAGTCGAAAAAGTAAAACATTGACACGGACGACGCCGCCGGACAATCACTCATATGATAAGCTCCACTTGACAAAGTCTATAGCGGAGCTAAAAAATGAATGCATATACAGGAACATGTATGATATGTGACATAATATGTATATGGCATCTGAAGTCAATATAAGGTACATGTATACTAAAACACTTTTTGACAGGGTTCATATACAGTCCAATAATAACTACAGATTATGGTAAAAATTATTCATATTCATTTTCAAAATTATCATTCAGTTCCTCCAAAACCAATAAAGAGTAAAACCAATCTCAGCAAATATCACAAACGAGCATAATCGTCATACAATGTACACTAGGTGATCATGTGAAATTTAGGTTGGAGAAATTTTAATGTTAAATGCTAATTTGATCAAACTGAAATATGTATTTTGATAAAAATATTATCTGCAGACATTCTTTATTACCATCAGAGTAGTAATATTCAGATTGGTAGAAACTCTGGTAGTAATCACTTGTGTCTGCTGGTGATGTCAATCTAAGAGAAAATACCACAGAATTATATTAAATTAATAAACAGTCAAAATAGTTTCTAAAAGGTCTGTGATTTTTTTTACCATGACTGTTATTCCTTAGGCCCCCACTATTCCACCATCAACCTTTATTTGATCTAAGTATAAAATATTTGATGTCTGCAGTCAATTGCTGGTGAATACATAGGGAAAGCAATTTGAAAACACAGAAGATTGATAGTTGTCACACTTATATATGTCCCTATTGTTTATGCATTTATGAAAATACTGCCTGCATGTAGACATATAATTTTTTTTTGAAATCCAAGACATAAAACCACCATTCACTCTATCATGAATGGATAATTTGTGTGAAGTAACCTTGACCTTGACCTCAACTGCACACTGCAAGCAATCAGGAATTACAAGCTTAACTGGTGTCATGGGTCTACTAGAAAACATTCAATTCATTTTGATGACAAAATGTTACAAGCGCTGTAATATTCACTAATCAGCAGAGATTGATTAATACAGTTTCATGTTGACATTAATTGCACTATTTTCATCAGCAATCTGCTTATGACAACTGTCAAAGGTTTTCAAATAGTGAATATCAAACTGCTTTAATAGTTTGTAATATCTTTGGGGCGGGGGGTGGGGGGGGTGTTATTTTAGAAACATATTTTGATAATTATATTTATCTAACTACAGTGTGATAAAATGAGATTTAAAAAAGTTTTGTTTTGCAAAATGAATAAGTCCGGCTGTGAAAGTGATTGCCATTTTCCATATACAGAGTACATTGATATTGTATTTACAGTTGGTTATGAGAATAGGTGCAACTACATTAACAATTCCATGGAGGACAAAGCATGGCTGCAACAATGGCTGTAGCTCCATGGTAGATGCAGCAAGACTGCAACAACATGGAATATGCACTGTGACTGCAACAACATGGTAGATGTAGGATGACTGCAACAACATGGTATATGCACTGTGACTGCAACAACATGGTATATGCACTGTGACTGCAACAACATGGTATATGCACTGTGACTGCAACAACATGGTATATGCACTGTGACTGCAACAACATGGTATATGCACTGTGACTGCAACAACATGGTATATGCACTG